AATGCACGTCTACGTGCACGCACTGCATAGAATCGGTTTTAACTCTCTCTCACAATGTCGCAGTTACGTCGGAACTGACACTTTTTTCCAAGTTCTGCAGCGCGCTCTATAATTCTGCATCGCGAGCTAGAAGTACTAGATTAACACGATGAATATTTAAGCATCAAAAGAACAGTTCGATTGCTGCGTACCAGCTTTAATTATCCAATAGAATGTCACTTCCTACAGAACGCACGCACAAAAGACACAATTGATTTTGTATAACCACCTTTCGGACAGACTCCCGAAAAGGTGTAATCCTCGGTATCAGCTTTCGGAATCCGCGTGTCGTATACTATGCTCGATGTGTTTCGACAAGTACCTTGTCTAACTTGCGATCACGACCATGGCCCCTTGGACGAATTCAACAATATCATTTCAAGTCGTATTTCAAGGATTCCGTATATGCAAGAGTCATTCTAGTATGTTGAACAGTTTCGCTACTAACACCGGCGCACATTTCCCGAATGTCTTGATATGCCCTGAAGTCCCACTGTACGAGACATCGGACCGAGCGCTGCTTTTCGGTTCACAAATAATTCGTCATTCATTTCTGAATATACATACACATAAGATGACAAGCATGTATGAGTATGCAACTATTTTTCTACGTATCACTACATATTGACCGCGACTTGTTTGAGGGAAATGAATCTCTGCGAGATATGCCGTGGAAATAATCCTTTTAATATAGGACAAAATCGATCGTCTATGTTCGTAAAGCATTCCTTTGTAATTACAATCGCACTATCTATAAAGAAACAAACAAAATGGCAACCCTGAAGGGCGCACAATGTACAATGGCTGCCATTAATGGCGCTAGGTTACGTTGGATTTCACGTGGTTCTCCATCAACATTCCTCCCGCCATATGCTACTCACCTTTTTATCACGTTTGCATATTCACTGCGCCTGAACTTGATATATCGTATACTCCTTTTTTTAGGGATATTACTTACGCTAATGGAACGGTACATTTAATTTATTTTCGATCGAATAACGAATTTTATTGTTTCCTTCAATTAGTCTCTGTGTGGGGCACAGCACAATATCAGTTACATAGCTTTCAAACAATCAATAATTTCGACTACTAATTCTATATACATTTCAGGATTCTAAAAATAAATATACGTTGCACAGAATGTAATATCCTCTTCGTTTCTTCGACAGTACACTTCTATATCGATAATCATTAGCGTTATCTAAATGACAAAATAAGTACTAAAAAACCAAGTATGTATTTATTGCGTAAATATTGCCTTTAGAATGAGAATTGCCAAAGTTAAATAAGATATGCCTTTGAAACCTTGTTCTCGCAATGGAAAATTTGATGTACGTGTTTCAGTTACTCCTCTATAGTAAATGTTAAAGTTTTCACTGAATTTCGATAATCCAGAATTAAACGTGATCCAAATTTTGGGTGTTCTGATAATTTACGGATCCGATAATCGTATATTCCGAAGGACGAGAGAAACGCACCTTCGACTGTGGAGGTCTGCCATTTACGACTCGTGGGTTCTACCAATATTCACTTGGCAAGTTCGGCGACACTTGGTGGCGAGAAACGAGTTTAGACGGAAACAGCCGAAGTTCTTAATTCCAAGCTCCGCCGCTATTTGTCGAGTCATACGATATACATTACATATACTGTGATTATTAATAACTGGAAACATTTTCTCACAAAAAAATGTGATACGAGTTCATTAAAAAGTTATGCTACAAAAAAATATATTTACATTCATGTAAATTCTCTGTGATTTATCTTTTATGATATAAATGATATTGAAAGAGAACAATAAAAAAAAATATCACATGAATCTGAATTTTCAAATTGATATTCAAATTAAACATGATTATACTTGGAGTATGAAGGTTTCAGTTGATAAAATACACCAAGAGAATATGCTCAATCTTAGTTATTACTATATTAATTTCAATTCATTTCAGTAAATAAATGAAATGACTAATAAAATTACAATTACAATTCTTCGTATTTATTTTTGACGTTTCCTTCAATTTCACATAATGTAATATTTAATAACTTTATTTACAAATTATTGGCCCAATGCATGGGCCAATAAACTTCAGTTGCTTAGGATTTGAATTATTTACAAAAATTTTCGAAACAACATTTCGAATTCGCGAGTTTATGAGGACAAAATTCATACTTCACAATACTATATAATCAATAAAGCGCAAAATACTATTACCTTTTCGTTTTATTTCTTTAAAAAGTCGAATTAAAAGTTCTCTTTACAATTTTGTAAGAAATGTTTTTCCACCAAATATCAAGCGTTGCTATTTTTATAAATGAATCTAACGTAAATGCAATTTTCCTCGTAAGACACCAATTATTTAAAACATCTCGTTTTAAATTGTTCTTGTTTAATATGTAGATAAAAACAAGAACAACTTAAAACGAGACGTTTTAAATAATTAAAATTTGTAAAAGAACATATATACACATATATAAAAGACAAGTTGTCCTTTATACATACATACGTATAAATATTCTTTTATAAATTTCAATAGCAATAGATTGTAATAGCCTCTTTTAAGGCAACAATGTTGTTTGCGAGTAATATTTCAGAACAAATTTCATTGTCTATTTCCTTTTCTTTTCCTTTTTTCTTGGTACTTTTATAGTGTAATGTAACACTAATACATTTGTTGGCAGTACTTGTAGTAATTACATTCCCAATAAATAATTCCCAATGAAATTTTTGTTTTTTATATAGCACAGTTTTGCATAGTTATGAACGCGTAACTGTTAATACGAACAGAGATTGATCGGAAAAAATAAATCTGAATATGACGCACATTTTTGCCGCATCGAAAAACATTTGAACAATAAAAATATTAAAAATTCTATTTTTAACTATACTGAATAGGATAATATATTACACATGTTTCATTAACTTTTTTGGTTTAATGAAATATGAATTGTATGCATAAAATGCGCAGAAAAAATTTGTCACATTTCCCGTTTGTATAATTGTTTGTAGCATAACTGCAGTATATTTTATGAAACCCTTGTGTTACAGTTTTCCAAATTTCTCATTCATAAAATATTCTTACCAATTATTTTTGTAATCAACATTTAGTGTACAATTATGTGATTGTACGACAATTTTCATAAATATACTTATGATTATTACAAGACATTCTTGATAATGAAGCACTCATGTACTGAATATATCATTTTAATAAAAAACTTTAGATTAAGTAAAAAGACGGAATGAGTACATCCAAATATGAAAATTAATTTTATTAAATAGAGTATTGTAAAACAGGGAGTAGATGTAACAGAAGTCCATGAACTCTGTAATTCAATGAAATTATCTAAATATCAATTTGTATATGTGAACACAAAACGAAATTTAGAAAAATATTTGTATTCATTTGTTAACATTGTGTCAGGTCTTTTTAATGTCCTTACTAGGTTCTAAAATACCAATGAGTATAAAAGTATCATTCATTATTAAATTAGGAAAAAATGCAATTTCACATAACTGATATGATAGTTTGATATTGATTATCAACCAAGTAACAAATTAGATCAAAAAAAGTTAAAAAAAAAGAACAAGTTTCTATATTATTATTATTGATGCTGTAGGTCAAATATAAATATGATTGTACGAAAAATGTAATCACAAAAATAACAAGTTAATTATAAAGCAAACACATATTGGCAGCAATGTCGACAATAAATCTTTTCTATTTGTTAATATATTTCATTTGTTTTGTCCCTCTATAACCGTTGGAATGTTCTCTCTTTCTTTTTTTATTCCTTTCTCTTTGATTTTCTTCCTTTTCGTTAAATTTTGCAAATGCTTTTTCTATCTATCTGCCAAGGTTGTATTTGGAATTGGTTTGTTCTAATTTTCGCTTTCGAACATGATAATAACACTGTATCCTCACGCTTCTACAAAGTATATATTATATATTTATTTCCTTAATATACGCAAGATCTGATGACTTGCTCTCGTTTTATTAACGCATGTTCATTCTGTTCATACGACCACACTGTTCGTAATAGTATAGGTAGAATATAATATATGACACTTTTCTCTGTATAATATGTAACTGCATTTGTGGTTACTGCAATTTACTGCATTTCGACCATAATTATTTACCTAAAGGACTCTGCAAGTTTCATGATAAGAAATAAATGGCCGAAAAAGATGATCAAATTAATAACATTGCAGCTCAGTAACAAGTTATATAATAAAGATTTTATAGTATTAAATAGTTCTTGAAATCGAGTCTAGTTACACTGTAATTTATAAATAAACTTGCTGTCCATACTTAGGCAAATAACTTCTGTTTTACTGCCATTTAGAAACTATACATAATGAAATAGTATTTTGTTTTCTCATAGTCAATAGTAAGAATTTTTATATTTTTTTTTTCAGTCTTATAAGCAATAAATCTTTTTTCCATAGAAAGATGTTCAATTAGATTTGTTTTTAAATGGCTTATCTTCTTTTAATTATCTTCGATTCTATATCATTATTTCATAATCCTCTGTACATTTGTAGCTTCCTAGTTAATGCTATTTGTAAAGTTTATTACAAATAAGTCGTAAGATAATCAAAAAGAAAAAGACATTTTCATAGAGAGAAAATACTGCTCGACTAATCTGTATCATGTTCAAAAATGTCTCTTTCCGAAATGGTTATTTATTTCACTAAACCTTACTTCCATTAAGGTTTATTATCTAAATGACTTTGTATATGCAAGCAGGATTTTTTTTATGTCAGTATGAAGATTCACTCCGATTAAAAAGAAATCCACTTTACTGAAGTGGATTTCTTTTTAATCGGAGTGAATCTTCATATTGACTTTTTAATATGAAAAGCCATCTAATTTAAAAAGTTGTTAGAGCAACGATGGGATCGACGACTGCGTCGATGGGATCCTGTGCTTGCAATTAAACAGATGAGGAGGTACAATATAAATCTAATTATGCACTGTAGTTGATGCATGTTGAAGTCTTTCTAATTCTTCCAACGATAAAACATTTGTCTGGACAAGCTCTGGTAGCTTACCAGCCCGAGCTTGAGCAAGAAGTTCTGGACTAAACCATCGTGCCAACTGATTTGAAGTCGGTGACAGATCTCCACCATTGCTACCCACATATCCTAAACCTGGTGATGCTTGCCGACCTACAGGCATGTTCAATTGCTGCGACCGCATTACTCTCCCATCTGTGAAAAATATTTATTATTTTTATTTTTATTATAGTTATTATTTTGATATACATGAAATCTACGAAAATATATTTTAATGCGTCGTATTTCTTTCTTAAGGAATAATATTAACTTGATATTTAGTACTAGGAAAAAGCATTCAGCAGATTATGTAACAAAAATAGAAGACAGCTTAAAGTAAGCGTTAGTTGATTACTTTAAGTTCGATCCAAAGATAAATGCTGTCTAGACTGGTTTAAATAAGAACAGCTAAAATGTGAGATCTAATTATTCCAATTTCTGAACACCATTGCATGCAATTTGATTAGACAAGAGGTAGACACCTGAAAATATTTTAGAATAACAAAATTAATGTAAAAACATTCTGTTTAAAAAAAAAAGAGACTTGTGCTAGTAAACCATAAAACATTTATAAATTGTTAAATTTCCCTATTTGCATCAATCTATATATAAATTGTATTTACCTGTACGACTGGAGTTGTAATTTTGATTTAAGACCATCTGCATTTGTGAATTAAGAATACGCTGTTGCTGTTGCTGTTGCTGTTGCTGTGGTTGATGTTGCATATTAGCAAGATGTGAAGGAGGAGCTTGCTGTACCTTTATTTGATTATTCATACTGTTTGACCTCTGATTTATCATTGAATTCTGAGCAACATTGTATTGGGGAACATTGTGGTGTGATATGGAACTAGTCACAGTATGTTTAGAACGTGCAGGGTTACCATACACGCTTGAAACAGTTCGATGCTGTTGCTGTTGTTGCTGTTGGAAATCTGAATTTCCACTATATTGGAATTGATTTCCTCCATTGCCACTACCACCTTTTACTATCGGTCGACCTATTCAATGAAAATATAAACATTCAATGAAAATATAAACAATTAAATAATATTGGTTCTGACAAGTTTAGAGTAATTGTTACAAGGTACAAAATGTATAAAAAAAATTTAAACATGATGTATGATTTATAACGTTTCAGATACCTGGGTGTTGTTTCATAGTTGGATTTGACCATGTAGATTGAACAGATTGTGGTCGTAAGGTATTATGTCGAGAAAGAACTCCTTGAGTCAATATTTGAACTGCAGACTGCATTTGTTGCATTTGCGATGCCTGTGATTGAGTCGTCAATTTCGATGCATCGCTACTATTACCTATATAAAAATAGGAAAAAAATTAAGCAAGTTAAAAACCTAATTCTTCACTTTTTTACTATATACTGCAAATATTTGTATAAATTAATAGAACAAAAACTATATTTTATTAGCATATTTGTACAAATTAATAAAACAAAAACTATATTTTATTAACATTGTGTAACATATATGACATATTTTAATACACAATGAAATATATGATAAATATTTGTCAGATTAAGATCACAATTTTATCAATTTTTAGATAGAATAAAATAACAAATAAGGATTAAAGAAACACATACGAATTGTCAATATGTTCAATGTGCATTTCATTCAATTTATGTATGAAAATAAAAAAAAAACGCTTATTTTTTTAAAATTACATAAATATCACTCTCTTAATAGATGCAATTCCCTTAACCATCAAGTCATAAAAGCTTCAAAACTTCAAGCGCATGCATTAAAATAGAAAATTTCAAAGCATTCCATTAAAGGAAAAATGAAAATATAAATATAAAGAGAAACTTAAAGCATGATATATATTTATAAAGCGTTTTATTATAAAATTATTTCAACATATTTTTTTTTTGTAATATGTTCGTTTATTAGTCTATGAAGGAAAATGTGATTTATATTGTTAGTTGATTTTTTGCTTTCTTTTTAGTAAGATTAATATTTATATTTGAAATTAAAACACTCATTTTCGTATATAATATGCAAAAAAAAAGGCAGATAAATTATATTCAAACATATTAAAGGTGTCAAGCAAACAGAAGGAAAAGAAACAAAATTATCATTCCTCATTTTAATACAAAAATAAAAAAGTAATGTTACACATCGGATAATAGTCACAAATATATGAATCTTTTTCATGTATGAAATTTACGAGATATGATTTAAATAACATCACTTTGTAAAACTGCTATCTTATTTTCTTCTATTTTTTCTAATGCTTTTTTATTGTCGACTATTACCGTTTCGATTTCTAATTGTTCTGTTGATAATTTATCAAGAAGACTATTGTTATTATCATCACTTAGATTCAATTCTTTGTTGATATTTTCGTTCGATAATTTTTCACTGATGAGCTTGTTCTTCTTAATTATTTTCTCTGTTCTCTTTAACTTTAAAATCAAATCAGTCTGCCAATCTTTTTGTTGCATATAAGACATACAAGTCTCTACAAAGGAATTATGATTGTCTTTTAATGCGGATTCTTCTACATCACCGTTATTGTTGTCATTGTGAGACAATTTAACAGGCAACGATAATTGAGCGTCAGTTCCGGACATATCACCATGCTTTTTATGATTAGTCAGTTCAATTGCATTATCTTTTTTTTGTTGTGCATAAGACATAGAAGCCTCTATGAAGGAATTATGATTATCTTTTAATGCAGATTCTTCTATGTCACCGTTATTGTTGTCATTTTTAGGCAACTTAACTGACAACGATAACCAGGTATCTTTTTCAGATATGCTACCATGCTTCGAATAATTAATAAGCTCAATTGCATTATTATAACAAGCAGATTGTTGCGTGAAAGTATTTCTCTTGGAATTAAATGTGTTACGATATATATTATTACGATTTTCATTAGCTGTAGAGAGAAGTAAGTAATTCGATTCTAATTGATGATTAGAGCGATTCGCACCCTCAGGTTCCTTATCAGCAGTCATTTTACGTAACACTGACGTTGGAGTAAAAGCGAGTGGTGTTGGACTCATGGTTTGCTTTGCTGGCGAATTAACTGGACTCGACGCTCTTTGCTGAGCTTGTTGTTGTTGCTGTTGTTGATCCTGTCGTTTTCGGAAGTTTTCACGTTGTTCCTCCAACTTTTTCTTAATTAAAGCACTTTGCATTATAGATTGAGCATGCATAACAATCTCCCGCGGCGAAGGAACTCTATGTTGCATCACTGTTAAAAATAGTAAAAGATCAAGAACAATTTAAATAGATGAATCGTTATCCTTATGATTTAAAAAAAATATTTTAAATTTTTAAAAGCAAGATCACAAGTTCTTTAAAATAAATTTATGATAAGTATTTTAACATTTTAGGTTTCTTAAGCGATTTGCTTATTATTAAATTTTACATATATATAATAACAGAATAAAATAATAAAAGAAAAAAGAATTTATTATTTTTTATATTCTACCTGGATGCTGTACTGTTAATGTACTGGGACTAGCAGTCAAATTTGGAGATATTATTGAAGGTGGACAATAAGCTGCATCCCAAACAATATCATACATATTTATATTATAAATCTATATTTTTAATGAAAACTTTTATTTTTAATAATAAAAATAATTCCCGATCAATTATACAGTCTTTATATTAATTGTTATACAGCAATGCAAAAATTAGTATATCAAAAATAATTAAGAAAAAAGTTCAAACTCTATCAATAATACAAATGAACAAGGAATGTAACTTACCATTGTTCATAGGAGATGGAATCCTTTGTTGCTGTTGTTGGTACAACATCTGTTGCAAGATATGATCTTGAGGGGTTGGTGCATTAGGATGTGGACTTATAGTACGTGGTGTAGTACCACCATACATTTTCAAAATATTTACTAGAACTTCTCTATGACGATGCTGCATTGCTGGATTCTATTTTACATATTATTATTATTATAGCTTAATATATTAAAAACAACATTTAAACGTAAATTTCTTTTTTAGTTAAAGAAACAAACCTGTAACTGCTGTATGAGATGTTGTCTAGTTATTTCTCCTTGTTGAAGACCTTGAATAATTGCTTGAGCTTCTGGTCTTTGGAGCAGTTCCTGACTTGTTGAAGCATTGCTCAACATCATCTGCATTTCCGGTGGAACGGGACTCATGCCTAACATTCGTTGACCACCCATCATCATGGACAACATATCTGAATGTTGTTGTTGTTGTTGTTGTTGCTGCTGCTGCTGTTGTTGTTGTTTCTGTTGCTGCTACAAACACAATCAATGTTAAAGGAATAATAACTTTTTTTTTCTTTTTATTTTTTCCAAGTTAGAAGCAACATTACTAACCTGTTGAATCTGTAATACTTTCATTAAATTTTCATGCTGCATTTGTGCCTGATGCGGATGTTGAGTTGGTCCGACAGAACCAACGTGATTAAATGTTTGCATTGGTTCTGGGACCGATTGCTGAGGAGCAATTGGTTGTGTTTTCAGTTGTGAGTTAAGCAACTATAGAAAATTACGCATTATCTCAAATGTAACAAAATATTTTGTGACTTCGATGTCAAATGAAAAGGTGAAAAGAAAGAAAATGATCTTACTTGTATTAATGTCACAGGTTGTTTTTGCGAAATAGGACCGTTTGCCGCTGGTATAGCCTGTCCTCCAGTCACTTGAGCAAGCTAAATTGTTAACAAATTATGTATATAAAAAAAAGAAGATACAATTGTAACATTTTATTGATAATATAATATATATAATATTACCAATTTTTTAAACGCAGAGAGATCTTCTTCAGTCTTATTTACACGAGGTTGATCAGTCGAAGATGTGGGTGGAGGAGCACCACCCCGCATGCGTGCTTCCAATTCTTCGAGACTATGCACAACTTTTCCACCAACTTCTAAAAAAGTTTCAGTCACATATAGCGTTCTATCGTATGTCATAATAATAATAAAAATTAGTAGCAGAAATTCTCACCCATATCTTTAATAGATGAGCTTTTCATCATTGGAATTACAGTGCTAGCTACATCCCCTTGTCCATTTTGATTTGGTTTGTTTCCACGTTGTAGCATTTCCAGCAGTTTTACCCCAGTAGTGGATGTATTATTATTTGCTGTTGTCGTATTAGCAGGAGAAATGGGAGCAAAGTATGTATTAGATTCTGTCACTGATGGAATCTGAATATTTGGTTCGGTGATATCATTAAGAAGATTGTTCAGTATATCATCCTGTATAGAAGTACGACGACTATCCACTTGTTGAACAGGACTCTCCCTCTTAAACCATTGACTAAATCGGGAACAAGAACCTCCGTTTGAACCAACTCCATTCTATATATAAATAAAACATATCACAATATGCAAATTATGAAATATTATATCATTTTATATATAAATAGAAAATAAGACTTACAGTTAAAAGTCCAGGTACGCCAGGAAATGTATCAGACTTTAAGAATTCATCTAGATTAAAATCAGGATGGCTATTTTCTTGATTCTGATTAGCGGTGCTAGAATTATCCGTTGTCTCGCAACTTTGTTCGATTACAGTGCTTTCGTTGGAATCATGATTTGGTTTTTGTGTGAGAGACGTCGATTCGTTCTGTTCTGAAATCGGCGAATGCGGCGCAGCGACAACGTTCATAGGTTGATCCATCGTGGTCGGTGTACTTCGCCCTTTCGGACCTGCTGAATTTTCAGTCTGCTTCTCATCTTTCTCCGACGAGTTCTTTTTCCCGCGCTTCTTCTGAACCGGAGTTTGCTTTTTGTTCTTAGTATTGCTATTGTTATTGTTTACTGCTTTTTCCTCAGGGATGTCTTCGAAACCTCTTAACTCAATGGTATCATGTTGCGATGTCGGTCCAGAACTAAACCATTCTGGTTCATCCGCATCGTTACGATTTTCGCTGTATGTTCGCCTGCGATCATTGCTGAATCTTCGTTCGCGACCACGATCCTTATCACGTTCCGATTGATGATTACGATCATTCCGTTCAGCTGCTCTCTCTCGATCGCGGTCCCTATCTCTGTCGCCATAATCACGGCCAAATGATCTTCGCTCAAACCGTTCGTTCCTTTCGTCTCGGTCACGCAAATTATCGCGATCGCGATCACGATCTCTTTCTCTCGTGTTCTCTCGGTCCTTTCCATCGCGAGTATCCCTGTTGTCACGATCACGCACGGAAGTACCACCACTTGATCCAGATCGAAAAGCAGGTTCCAGTTTTTCATTCTCAGGTCGAAAGTCCCATATATCGCGAGTTAAAATTCTTCCACTTCCAATTCGGCGAACAGGTTCCCTATGGCTAACCTACAAGTAAATAGTCTGTCATGTATTCTGTTAAAACACTCCGGTGATTTTAATCTATTTCCCCAGTAGTAGTTATTTTTTGAGTGTATTACCACGACCTCTGCTTTCCCTATTGGACTCTCAGGACGTCGGTTCGAAGGTTGATTCACGTTGACAAAACAACCTGAATTGAAACTTCTACGCTGAGGACTCAATACTATGCCGTCTTGTTCCTTACGGATTCGTTCCCTTGGATCTCCGTTCCGACGTTTATTATGACTTTCAGTAACTTGATCGCCACGTCCAGTTCTTTCGTCTTTCGGTGGTGTGTCGCTTCGCTTCCTATCCGAATGCCAACGTTCAGGATCCCACACACCACGCGAACTTAACCAAATAAAGAAAGAACAGAGAAAAAAGTAAACGAATATAATTCGCAAGGAGTAATAATAAAATTTAAATGATCTTGAAAAACAACAACAAAAAATACAAATAGTAGAATGAATATTGAATTTATATATAATATTAAAAACATACTTGTTATATGAGGTATCTAAGAAATCAGGCCTCCTCTTAGATAATGGCAAGCTCTTTATCAGTATTAATTCCTCCTGTAAATTGATCCATGAATTATAGTGGTCTGCAATGCTTGAAAAATTAATCGTAAATGATGTTTTAGCAAAATATTTTACAATAATATCATACCCGGGAATATTGGAATTGAGGTCTTGAACGGCCTACTTCCATAATTGAAGTGTCGGTTA